AGTGTCAGAGATCTGGATGTACATAGTGCCTGGCTTGTGGCATATGTAGTGAGAGAGGCTGTGATGAGGCAATATGCCCCAGACCACTTCAGTACATTAACTGTAATGGCACCCACGCTTCCAGTGACAAGAGTTGGCCCATGTTTTGTCAATGAGAGGGAAAGGCCTTCTCTTCTGGAGACACAAATATGTACCTTGAGGGCAAACCAAGGATCATGAATCAGTCCCATTCTTCCATAATTTTCCTCTCTTGAGAGATTGATATAGGTACATGGACACACAGCAGTCCCCAGCTGCAACATCTCAAGGTCTGTCTCCACATCATGGGTTAGATACAGTTTCTCACACTGAGGGTATTTGTGAGTCTACCATGGCTACCCCTCTGCCAGTTTCATGACCCTTCTATGGCTCCTGCCCTAAGGCATTATCCAGTGTCACCCAACCTTTGTATCATTTTGGTACCAGGCTCAAACAGTCTGAACAGTCAAGCATAACTGAATGCAGCAAGCCACTGTCTAACACATCTGACCTGCAGGCAGGTAATTCTCGTATTCCAAGAAGAAATGCAGAAGGAGATCACAAAAATTTTTCCAATCAAAACACTGTACTTTATACATGTCCACAGCCTTTTTCTGGCCATTTATTGTGGGCCTTCTACAGTGAAATCTTAAAAAGTTTCCATATGTGGTTCCCTGATGTACAGACTCAGTATCGTTATCCAACCATCATCTGTTTGTAGGAAACTCACATCTTTCCATCCTGTGTGTTAAACCTCCTTTGTTAAGTGGGTCATTGTTTATGACCACTTTGGTGACAGTAGGGTCAATGATGGACAGGTATTGTAGGTAAGGACTGAATATTTTCTGCTCCACTCAACATTCATACTCCGCTACAAGTCACCTTGGTTCCAACCTACCCAATCTTTCGTTTACAATTTGTAGTATTCCTGCTGGAATTACCAGTACATCCTGCTGGGCCAGCTGCTGGTATATTCCAATTATCAAAGCCATTTATTCTTCTTTGCCAGTTTCAGCACTCCATTTTCTGGGATTTAGTCCTTACTGATGAAAATGGCAGAATAGCTTCTGAACTATGTGCTGGCATCAGTCGAGTATTCTTATGCACCTGTACCTAGGGTCATCAACCTAGCTTACTGTTGACCCTGTCTTATGTAGTCCAGATCCAGCAGTCTGTCTTGAATGATACATTCCTCCAGATTTACTGGTAGTTACAGCTAACATAAAGTCCTACATTTCATTTGAAGTGTAAGATTAATAAAGGGTTAATCCAAAGGGGAAGCACAGTAGATCATTGAAGGTCACAATGTGAGCGCAGGATTTTATGGCCCACCCCTTACACACATACAGCTAACCTAGAAACCTTCACATTTCTGCCATAATTCCTATTGCATCCCGACATCAACTCAGTTAGTAGACATTCTGAAGTACTGTCTCGTGACACTGTTGACTCCATGGCAGATTATTTCATGAGCATTGCAGTCCAAGCCACTTCGTGTTATGGCCCTCTGATATGTACCAGTTCTTGTGGCAAAACTGTCCTCTCATGGACAGGTGAATGATACAATGCCATTTGTGTTTGGAAGCAAGATCTAAGGCTCTTGAACCACCACTCTACAGTGGAGAATTTAATTTCCTTTATATGCTGGCTGCCAAAGCGCAGTGTGTTATGCATAATGCTAAGTGCTCATCGTTTTAAGCTTCTTTTTTTCGTAGCCCTTCCAAGTATACACATTTGGATGTTGTCTGGAACAAACTACAGCACATGTCAAGTAAGTGCAATTGCAGTTCCAGACCTTGCATCCTAGCTAGACACTGATAATACATTTGAATCTCATTTTGCTTCTCTTCTTAATAGCAACAATCACAGTGCTTCTTTTTGCTCTTAAAGGTGATGCAGAAGTATTGCCTTTTGGCCTGCAGAGCTATGTAACGTAAATAAGAACTAAAAGTTTGTGACGATGGTACATTAGTATGAATATTATGTTTTTGGACTTTATCCATCATCCTGTCCTTATCTAAAAACACTGTCCTGTTTAATTTTCAAAACAACGTTTTGGAGACAGGGACTAACTCTATCAATTGGGACCAGCTGATTAGGTTTTGTCTGAAGACAAACAGAATCCAGTCTCCAAATGTTGTGTTTTGAAAAATAAACAGGACGGAGTGTTTTAGATGAAGACAGGATGATGGAAAATATACAAAAACGTAATATTTGTACATATAACATAGCGTTTAATATGGATGAACTTCTCACGGCATTAGATCACTGTTTCAACATGTTCCCAGGTCCCACTCAATGCTCTGTCATCTGCCACCCACAGGCATGCAGTTTCTAATCTCCATATACAATTTTTGCTGGTCAGAAAATCCTTCTCCAGCTGCCTGGACAGAAGCTGTTATTTCTTTTTTGAAGCCCAATAGTGATTATTTCCTCACAACTGACTGTACCCTATCAGCATGACTAGTTGTGTTTGTAAGACCATGGAGCATATGGTAACCTGTTGTCTTTTCTTTATTCCAGAGAGTAGAAATCTTCATTCTAAAGCTCACTGAAGGTTAAAATGCCACTGTTCCACTGCTGACCACATTCTTAATCTGGATCACTGTATCCAGAATTATTTTGTCATTTGCAAACACCTTATTGCTCTCTGTGTCAACTTGAGGAAGGTGTATGATACCACCTTGCAACATGATATCCTAGGAACACACTACCACTGAAATATTAAGGGCCAGGTACCAGTTTTCCTTTTGAACTTCCTCCAGGATCATTATTTTTTGTTCATCTGCACTTTATATTCAAGAAGCTGGGGTGTCACAAGACTTGGCTTTAAGTGTGATCCTGTTTGCAGTGTCTGTCAACACTGTGGTCAATATGGTTGATGCATCTGTCTCATCATCGCTATATGTTCATTGCTACATTGCTATCTGTTACAGCTCCTGGAGCACAGTTGCTATAGAATGCCAGCTACAGGTCATTATAATTCGTTATCTCACTGTGCTCAGCAGAAATTCTGATGTCTATAACATGAATACTAGACAAAAATATAACTTCCACCTACCCTCATCAACTTTATCAGTATATCAAAAAGGAGTCTACTTTACTGGCATAAAAGTGTTCAACAATCTGCCACAAAGTATTAAAAACTTGGGCAATGATACTAAAAAGTTTAAATCAGAGTTAAAGAATTATCTACATGCTCATTCCTTCTACTCTTTAGATGAATACTTCAATGTAAATAGAGAATGATGTAAAATTAAGTTATATTAATTTTTAAGCTAAAATTGCCTGTACTTATGTATGTAACCTTTTGACTTGTTCTGTATCCAAAGGTACTAACCTGCTTAGGATTTATAGAATGTAAATAAATTCAATTCAATTCAATTCAATGTATTTTCCTTCTCTGCACCAAAGATCCAGTGCATACATTGACACCATTGCAGGATGTATGTCCTGTCCACAGTCTGTTTCTGCTCTGCCATTTGTTTCAGCTTCCTAAAAGCAAACTGTCATAGGAACCTCATTCCACATTAAATTTGAATAGTCACTGAGTATTCTAGAAGTTTCATATTGCAAGTCTTGGTGAGGAGACTGCATGAAGTTGCTCTGACTGCACTGTGCCCTGATCCATTCCAGTGTAGGCTATGAAGCTTCTTGCAGCTGTGCACTAAAGTCGAGACCATCTGCAATTGATGTTCTCTCAATGGTGGGATTTGTGCTTCTATGTATTCATCATCAGCCTTGGCAGTGTCACCTCTTCTGCACATATATCCTAAGTAACTTGCAGGGTCTGCACAGTGACACACCTGAGCATCGATTGTTATGGATGTCCTTCAGCCGGTAATCCAGGGAAGTCTGTAGTGTTCTGGTGGCTACCAGGCCACTGAGAGTGGCAGCCTTGTATGTAGAGCTCCAGGCAGTGATGTTCACACCTGTCTTCATGCATTTTCTCAGAACTGGTACACAGGATAACAGATACTTTTTGATATTTCAGTCCTCCTTCAGTTCCATGAGGAAGAGGGAGACCCTGCTTATGCACCTTCAGATTGGGCTCTCATCTGATACAGGGCGTTTACTGGAATGTGACCTGCCACTTATTTGCATTCAGTGCGGTATTCCCATTCCCATTTCGCACATGCTTCAGGAATGCACATTGTGACGGGTGCCAACTTTGCTGTGTGGCTCGTTATGCAACATCTTAGGAGAGGATGGCCGTAACTCATTTAATGTCATGGCATTACATCATGATATTGGGGTAGACAAGTTTATTTGATTGATTCTTTTTCATTATCCCATTTGAGTCATTTTATCCCCATTGCTGGTGTTAGGTCACAGTGGTCCATATAGACCTCTTTCATTGTCAGTAGGTGGGTTTGCAAAATCTGTGACAAGGATAAATTAACTTTTTCGCATTTGTCGACTTGTTTGCTCGAAACAACTTGGCTCCCACAGTTTATATTGAAAAGTTTTACTGAAGTATGTCAACATTATCCGACAAATAATGAATACTTTACATGAAAAGCGAAGTTCTTTTTGGGAGTATTTCACAGTCTCCTACTCCATTGATGAAAGCACATGGGTTGCCATCCAGATGAAAAATCTCAGTGCATCTCAGGTGTTGCATTATATATACATCTCCCATCTCGTTAGCTGAGAATTTATTACAATTAATATGTTGCTGGACATTATCCATCATCTTGTCTGTTCTAAAAAAACCGTCTGTAACAATTTACCATCATCACAAACTTTTAGATCTTATGAGCATTCATTGTTTTTTCCATTTTACAGTTTACACACTCTAACACCACACTGCATTTTACAGGTGTTTAATTGTATTTATTTTATACTGGGTTTGAAAAAGAATGTTTTAACTTCAGTTCTGACCAGGTGAATACAGCCATAGCTGCTGACAAACCTGTAAACTCACCTACTTGCTAACATACTCCTTCACTGTAATACATTTTCTATATGTATTCATCCAGGTAGGGCCAGCTCAAGAGAAGATGTGACAGATGAAGAAGACCATGTAGAATCTTCTCTGGTCCCTGTTGAGGAACACAAATCAGTTATTCTCCACTTGTTGTCACAACTCAAACTGGGGATGGACCTCACACGGGTTGTGCTACCAACATTCTTCTTGGAGAAGAGATCTTTGCTTGAAATGTTTGCAGATTGCATGGGTCATCCACAGTTATTTGTCTGGTGAGTATCTTATTGAAGAGGCGATTTTGTGCTACATATGATTCTTTTAAGCAATCAGACAGGTTAAAGCATGCAATTTCAGATTCTTGCTTAACATATTTTGGTTTAAATAAACTCAAAAAGTCTAACCTAGTTATGTAAATAGTAGTATGCAGACTGATATGACCCTCATGAGATAAGTATTATATGAATAAAGTTTTGTGTTTCATACAAGGGTGGGTCAGGGTTAACCTTAACTTTATTCTGTTCCTGAAGACATGAACACCAGAAAAGTTAAATGCTTTTATGGGCAGTTTATGGCAACATGCACTCACTGCATGGCAGATGGCCATATGCCCCACTTCACTAATACAAGATGGCATTGAACCTTGTCACTTCTGGTGTAGAACAGTGCTGTATCATCAGATTTCTAATGGAAGAGAAATGAAACCATCAGAAATTCTTCATAGGTTAAATGTACGGTGTGGGGAAAAGACCCTGTCACATGCAGCTGTCTGTGATTCATACGTTAAGTTTTCTGAAGGTCATGAAGAAGTCTCACTCCTATTGCATGCTCGCATTGAACCTGCAGCTGTGTGTGATGTGAACATTTCCTGTTTTCAAAAGCTGTTTTTTGGAAGCATGTGACATTGCATTCAGCAGTGACATAAGTGCTGGCAATGTTGGATCACTTATCCATGAATACTCTTGTTGAAGAAAGTGTGTGCCTGGTGGGTCCCAAAGATGTTGATGTTCAACAAGGTGACATTGATAGTAATGAACCACCCTCCTTACAACCCTGACTGTTTGGATCAACAGTGCTACGCCTACCAAGACAGAATTTTCAAACTGATGATGAACTCTGGCTACACAGTTAGGATGCTGCTGGCATCATTAACTTGCGAGCACAATGGGAAAGGTGTTTGTATAAAGGTGGGAGGGGGGGTTATCTTGAAAAGGAGTGAGAGTTTGTTGATTCTTGCGTGTGTATCCTTTATGTAAAAAAGTGAAGTCAAGTCAACCTTGAACCACCCTCATGTTAGAAATATCCTATGTGACACTAAACTGATAATTAAGATTACCATATTTGGGGATGTGATTTCCAGCCATGAAGATGAAGGTAGCAGGTTGCTCCAAAATTTTGGTACCTATCAAACTTCACAGTGTCACATCACAATTGACCATAGTCATAATACTCACTGCCATGGACACCTCAAATGTCATTAAACTCATGGCACATCCATCATTTTCAACGTGAGAAATACATAAACACATGTCTGGGTTTGAGTATTACGTTCCACAATCTAATTACTTCTATTTGGCATAAGGAAAAATTGCCTGATCAGTGGAAGGAGTCTATTATTGTACCAGTTCACAAGAAGGGAGATAAAGCTAACTGTAGTAATTATTGGGGGATATCACTGCTATCAACTTCATATTAAATGTTGTCCAATATTTTTATTTCAAGGTTAAGTCCATATATAGATGAAATTATTGGGGATCATCAATATGGGTTTCGACGTAACAGATCAACTCCAGATCAGATCTTTTGCATTTGTCAGATATTGGAGAAAGAATGGGAGTACGATGAGACAGTACATCAGCTATTCATAGACTTCAAGAAAGCCTATGGTTCAGTTAGGAAGGAAGTATTGTATAATATTCTAATAGAGTTTGGGGTACCCATGAAACTAGTTAGTTTGATTAAAATGTGTTTAAACGAAATGTATAGTAACATCCGTGTAGGTAAACATTTGTCTGATAAATTTCCTATTCAGAATGGTCTAAAACAAGGAGATGGTTTATCGCCACTCCTTTTCAACTTTGCCTTGGAATATGCAATTAGGAAGGTCCAGGGAAACCAAGTGGGACCGAAATTAGACAGGACACATCAGCTGTTAGTCTGTGCTGATTATGTGAATCTACTGGGTGATAATGTAGATATCATAAAGAAAACCACACAAACTTTAATTGACGCAAGTAACGAGGTTGGTCTAGAAGTAAACACAGAGAAAACTAAGTATATGTTGCTGTCTCATCACCAAAATGCAGGGCAAAATCATGCATAAAGATATGAAACGGATGTTTTGAAAATGTGGCACAGTTCAGATATTTGGGAACAACAATAACAGATCGAAACCCGATTAGGAGGAAATTAAGAGGCGATTGAACTCGGGTAATGCTTGCTATCATTCAGTCCAAAACCTTTTGTCTTCTTATCTGCTGTCCAAAAACATAAAAATTAGAATATAAAAAACTATAATTTTGCCTGTGGTTCTGTATGGGTGTCATGCTTGGTCTCTGACATTAAGGGAGGAACATGGACTGAGGGTGTTTGAGAACAGGGTGTTGAGGAGAATATTTGGACCGAAGAGAGATGAAATGACACGAGGTTGGAGAAAACTGCACAATGAGGAGCATCATAACTTGTACTCTTCTCCAAGTATAATTAGAGTGATCAAGTCGAGGATGAGGTGGGCAGGGCATGTAGCACGAATGGGGGAGACAAGGAATGTGTATGAGATATTGGTGGGAAATCCAGAAGGAAAGAAACCACTGGGAAGACCAAGGCGTAGGTGGGTGGACATTATTAGAATGGATCTTAGAGAGATAGGATGGGATGGTATGGATTGAATACATCTGGCTCAGAATAGGGACCAGTGGAGGGCTCTTGTGAACAGGGTAATGAACCTCCGGGATCCATAAAATGCTGGGAAATTCTTGAGTAGCTACAGAATTGGCGACTCCTCCAGAAGGGCTCAGCTCCATGAGTAAGTAAGTAAGTATATAGATCAGTTTCCTAATCTCATTATTATTTTTTTAAGCCTAATTTAAAATTTCATCTAGTAAGAAGTGTTTCATTTTGCCCAGCAGTTTCTTGTGCTCCATGAATTTAAATATCATAAGCTTAGCAACATTTATTGGTTCTGACAAAGAGTACTTCAGAATTTGTGTTGTAATGAGTACTTTTTTCATCTTCTTGAATTCTTGTAAAAGTACATTTTACAGCATATCTGAGATGCTCCTTTATGTTCTTGGAACTCATATGAGCATGTCTGGCAAAATAGCGTTAGAAGGGTAGATGGAGAGACATTAACAGTCCACTTCCCCAGCAACCTCAGTACACATGTGCAAGGGTAGCTGTTAATATATCGCAAGAAATAAATCAAGAAAACTTTCAGAGTACTCAATTCACAGTCACACAGTTTGGCAACCTGTAGGGCTGACCCTGCCTGTTTCATTTCTCCATATATTCAAAACAGCATTGCATTATTTTGGACAGGGCTTTTCCAGATTGATGAATCTGCTTGTAAGACAATTCATAGAGAGATGAAAGTGATCAGTTTGCTTCTTGGTTCAGTGCAGAGCAGATCATCTTGTTGTGGTTAAACTGCACTTCCATGTACAGTAATCATACTGCCTGCAAATTAAGAGTTGCCCCAACATACTACTGTTTTCTCCAAGCTTCTCGCAGTCCCTGTTTATGTAGACCTTTTCATGGGACAATGTCTGAGTTTGGTGGGAGCAAATTTTAGTGAGCATCGTCGAGGCATTTATGAGACTTCCCTCTGCACAAACAAAACTAAGTGGACTAGAAGTAGCTCAGTGAATTACTCGGAAGAAATCCACTATGAACAGGACTCACAAATTCAGCTTAAAAGAGAAAAACAGCATGTACCATCAGTTCTGCTGATACTTCAGTGGACGTTTGCAGGACCCTTATCCATGCTGTCATGTGTTAGGGTCTAGACACGAGATTTCGATTGGTAATTGGATTTATTGAACAGACACACTCATAAGTACAAATAGTTATAACACACTCACCAGTCAAAACACTCTACAGATCGCTGCTGCAAACGCCAAGTCTTCTGTGACTTCATTAGTCTTGTGCGGGTGATATGATTTCTCGTGGGAATATTGTTAGTAACTATCATGCTAACAATGAGATTATGGGCCTTTGTAGGTTGTGTGTTTTAGAGCAGTAGTGTAGCCATGTTATGTATATAAATAAATGTTCTCAAGAAACTCAGCACCACTGCAGCAAATCATAAGTACTAGTGGATTCAGTGCTAAATACTGTCGCAGTTTGACACTAGACCACACAGCCACTATGTATGATTAGTGGTTAATACCATACAGACGATGTTTTCAGTTTCTGTTCATGGTGCCTGAAGTAGAAATATCCATTTCTGTTGAAGTTTCATGACGTTTTTCTTTTGCATATCAGTTTCCTATATGACTCTCACATCACTTTCATATTACAGAATAACTGTTAATTTTTTTATAAACTCTTAACATTTTTATAGGTTACAATGATAGTGTCACATATTTTCAACTTTTGATTTTTTTGAGTGATTTATATATATATATATATACACTCGTATGTGTGTGTCTTCATTCTAAATTGCCTGTAAAAAGTATTCATTATATCATCAGTTTTAAGTGCTGTTTGGAATTCTCATTATTGTGGACTTCCCAAGGAAGGCAAATTTGCTTATTTTGAATATTGACATATAATATACTACCAGTCAATAAGTTCGTGGAATGGCCGCAAACCATCGTATGGGAATTTACTGCCAGTATGTTTCAGCAGTGTTTTTGACAGCTATATCAACATTGGCAGACTTGCATAGCAGACAACAGCAACTATTTTGAGGGCTGATGTCGATCTGCATAAGTGTATGTGAATACCTTGTAACATGATGCATTAAAACCACATTCCACGAACTTAATGACTACCACGTATTTTATATACAAAGGTATGTGATCCAAACTTCAGATGTCATAATTTAAACTCTTTGTTTAGTGTAATGATCTCTGATTTATCAAGCCTTAAGAAACATAGCATCCCTTCAAGAATGACAGTATTTGAAAAAAATGTTAAAATATTGTGGCATGTAGACCCATTGCTAGGCAGTGTCCGTGAAATGAACTATACCACAGCCGTTGCTAGGTAGTGTCCGAGAAATGAACAAGTATACCACAGCCATTGCTAGATAGTGGCTGCACCAACAGACACAGCTGCAGCAATTCACGGCAACAAGAGGTTAATAACAAAAATGGGCAGCAGTGTTTTCTGTGTGTTCGTGCTGAGATGTTATAAGTGGGGCAAGTTATGATCTAGTGAGTCAGTTAGTGAAGAGTTGATTGGTGAGTCATTCAATGTTGTTAGTGAGTGAGTGATTGAGTGAGTGAGCGAGTGAGATAACCACTCGGGCTCAGTTGTTGTGAGCTGTTGCTATGAGGAGCTAGTAGCTGAGGTCTGGGACAGTTTTGAAACCCAGAGGAAGGGGAACGTCTGCTGTTGGAATCCACTAGCAAGCAGTGACATTAGTGTGTGTGTAACAGGGTAATGTAAAATGTAGTCATGTGCTTTATCAGAGAGTTCAATAAATTTGGTCATCAATCCAAAACCCGTCTATAGTCACTGTCACATGACAATGTGAATAAATATGACTTAACATATACGTGTACATATCCAGAAAACTTTGTGTACCTATCTGCATCGTCCATTATTCCGACCTTCTTGTCCATGCACATATGTGTGTATGCTTGTGAAATGTTTAACTCATCATATATTTTTCCCCATTTCAAGTATTCAGCCCTAGGAAACTGACTTAAGAAAAGTGGTTGTAATTTATGTCGATATTTCTTGTCTATAAATTAATGAAACTTACTTTCACTGGTCTCATTGATATCACCTGCAGCCCACACAATTTATTAAACATACAGTGTCACAACATCGCCCACAGATGGCAGCAGAATCTGTTTCAACTTTTACATTTTGCATAAAATTTGCTTGCAATGACTGAGGCCTCTATTTTGGAGTTCATTGACACACCTATATACTTACTTACTTACTTAAATAGCTGAGCCCTTCTGGCGGAGCCGACAATTCTGCAGCTACTCAAGAATTTCCCAACATTTTATGGAACCCAGAAGTTCATTATTGCGTTCACAAGAGCCCTCCACTGGTCCCTATCCTGAGCCAGATCAATCCAATCCATACCATCCCATCCTATCTCTCTAAGGTCAATTTTAATATTGTCCACCCACCTATGCCTTGGTCTTCCCAGTGGTCTCTTTCCTTCAGACTTTCCCACCAAAATCCTATATGCATTCCTTTTCTCCCCCATTGAATTGAATTGAATTGAATTGAATTTATTTGCATTCCATAGGTCCTAAGTAGGTTAATACCTCTGGATATAGAACAAGTCAAAATAATACCTACTGGTACAAGTAATTTTATCTTAAACTAATATAGCTTAATTCTACATTATTCTCTATTTACATTGAGGTATTCGTCTACAGAGTAGAAGGAATGAGCATGCAGATATTTCTTTAGCTCTGATTTAAAATGTTTAGTATCATTACTAAGTGAAGTAATCTACAGGTGGACAGCTATCAACGAAGTAGAAGTTGATAATGACAGGGAGAGTGTTTTAGATGTTAAATTTTGAACTGAGTGCAGTGTGACAGCGACGTGAGTGTTATACACCTGATGATGGCCGTCTGAGGCTGAAACATGTAGTGTAGGGAGCAAGATCAAAGACACAAAATATATTGTTTGCACTTGAGACGGAGTTTATATCATTTATCATATGGAGTGCAACAGGATGCTTAAATATAATAAATATAATATCATTACTTAAGTTTTTGATACTTTGTGGGAGACTGTTGTACACTTTTATGCCAAAAAAGTAGACTCATTTTGATATAGTGATAAGTTTGATGAAGGTAGATGGAAGTTATATTTTTGTCTAGTATTCATGCTATAGATATTGGAATTTAATTCAAATTTATTTTTGTTGTACACAACAAATAAGAGAAGCGATAGTATGTATTGTGATTGAAGAGGTAGAATTTTTAATTTCTTAAATAAATCTCTACATGAATCTCTACTTCTACATCCTGTAATAATTCTAATTATATTCTTTTGTATCTTAAAAATTTTTACGCTATGTGAAGAGTTCCTCCAGAATATTAATCCATAGTTCATAATAGAATGAAAGAAAGTAGGTATGGTAAACCATCTTCAGTGTTTCCTGTGGCATAAAGGGCTTAATCAATCTCATTGCATAGCAAGCTGCACTTAATTTAGGAATAGTTCGTTCTTTATGTATTTTCCAAGACAGTGTACTGTCTACATGTATTCCAAGGAATTTTGTATCAGGTTCTTTATAGATTAATTTGTTGGCATAACTGATGACCAGATCAATTTGGTGGCTGTTTTTCATTGAGAATGATATGTAATGGGTTTTATCAAAATTTAGTGAGAGTTTATTGGCTTTGAACCATCTATTTAAAGCTTCAAATACAACATTTATCATTTTTAAAGTCTTCAAATTTAGAGTTCTTAAATATTATACTAGTGTCATCTGCAAATAGAATTGGTTTAGATTTATTGTTGACGGTTTTTGATAAATCGTTTATGTAGAGAAGAAAAAGCAAGGGGCCCAAAATTGATCCCTGTGGAACACCATGTTTTATGATTCCCCAGTTTGAAAATGCATTGGAACTGGAATTTTTACTTTTTATCTCCACTCTTTGGTACCTATTTTTGAGGTATGGTTTGAACCATTCATTAGCTTTGCCAGTTATTCCATAGAAATTTAATTTCAATAGAAAGATATCATGATTTACACAATCAAAAGCTTTTGCTAAATCACAGAAAATCCCTCCCACTATTAATCTGTTATTGAGAGCATGCAAAATATCGTTGGTTAGTTCATAGGTTGCTTTTTTTCTGTGGTTTGGTCTTTCCTAAATCCAAACTCCTCTTTAACTAATATTTTGTTAGAATTTAAGTGTTCAAGTAATCTGTTATATATAACTTTTTCAAAGACTTTTGAGAATGACGTCAGTATAGAAATTGGTCTGTAGTTAGAAATGCATTTTCTCTCGCCTTTTTTAAAAAGTGGTTTCACTACAGTGTATTTTAAGTGTTGCGGAAAAATCCCTGATAAAGATTTATTACACAAATGATTCAACGGTGAACTGATGTAAACAGAGCTTGTTTTAAGTAAATTGGTAGAAATTTCATCATATCCATGTGAATTTTTGGGCTTAAGGGATTTAATAATGTTTTCAATTTCCTTTATTGTTGAGAATTTGAGATTTATATTTGGAAATGAACTATTAAAGGAATGTGACAGATAGTATATTGGATTATTATTATTATTATTATTAAGAGATGTTTTCTCAACTGATGAGAAGAAATATTCATTAAATGCACTCGCAGTAACTTGTGGATTATTAGTAGACTTTCCTTCAATATTCAAACTTTGTACATCTTCATTAACAGTTTTCTTTCCTTATTCAACTTTCACAATATCTCAGGTGGTTTTAATTTTATTGTTTGATTTTAGAATTTGGTTGTTATAATTATTCTGTTTGGTTTCTTTAATGACTTTTGACAAGATTTTACAGTAAATTTTGTAGTGACTTTTTAGTCTTGGATCATTACTGTCCCTACTGGCCAAATATAGATGTCTTTTATGTTTACGTGAAGTTTTTATTCCAACAGTTATCCAGGTGGATTTGTACCACATGCCCTGTCCACCTCATCCTCCTTGACTTAATCATTCTAATTATACTTGGAGAAGAGTACAAGTTATGAAGCCCCTCATTATGCAAATGACACACCTGGATACAAATGGTTAAATCAAGTTCAGAAGACAAATTCTTTTGTTCTACACAGCATACCTGATGAAGTGACACCTTTTGGACGTATGATGGCACTTCTTGAATGGTATCTTACGTCATTCCACATGGGGAAGCCAGACTCCACTGCCAAGAAGCCATATAATCCCATAATTGGAGAAACATTTCATTGCTCCTGGAGGGTACAGAATACAAATTCCAGTTCAAAGGAACACACGGGCTTAAAACCGAAGTGTGTGTATGAGACTGTAAATTTGAGTCCACAGTCAAGATCAAAATCTGCAACTGAAAATATTGCTACAGATAATGGCCACACATCTGGGCAATGTTCAAAGTTAGCAAATGAGTCAGAAACACAAATATGTCCACTTGATGCCACAACACAGGAAAAAGTTGGTGAAACAGTAGATGCGAGCTCAGTGTCAGTGGAGGAAGTGAAAGATGTAATCAAGAAGTACAGTGTGATCACAGACACATCAGTTGAAAGTATTGAAATCAGCTACATAGCTGAGCAGGTCTCTCACCATCCTCCAGGTATGTTACTATACATCAGTAAAAGTGAGTGACCATGGTGATTTCTGTGTCCAGTTTTCATGTTTCTTTTTTTAATTTGCAGTTCCTATTGCATAATCACAAAGAAATTTAAGAAACATGTAATGAATTAGTTAGTACTGAATATGTATATAACATTTATTTTAATTTTGTATTGGAGAATGTTTATTTTTATTGCATAATGGTAACTTTCATATTTCTTATAGTAACAGCATTTTATGTGGAGTGTCCTGTCAAGAGAATGTGTTTAAATTCGTCCATCTGGACCAAGTCCAATTTCTCTGGTATGTCTGTTGGGGTGAATATGATTGGAGAATTAAGCCTTTACTTGGAGAATCACGGTGAACGGTATGACTTTACCTTGCCATCAGCATATGCACGCTCAGTCATATCAGTGCCCTGGATTGAACTTGGGGGAAAAGCTACCATCAGTTGTCCTATGACAGGCTATTCAGCAGCCATCATCTTCCATACCAAGGTACAACTGAGTTTCTCTTCTTACAATAAATTATAATTTGAATTTAAACTTTTAATGGAAGATAATATAAGCTTCAGTTATTGTTGACATTTTACAATTACAGTTTTCTTCCTTTACTGGTAATTTATACAACATTTATCTCTTACTCCATAATATTATTAAATCCCCAAATACTCCTTTTCACCATACTGTCAATGCTCACAGTTTCTGTGCATGTACAAGGTGGTTCAAATATGACCGGGACTGATTTGTGTGTAAACAAGCCGCACTGCAGAGCAGCTGTGCAACCTTGAGAGAGTGAAGCCACAACCTCCACTCTCCCGCCTGTTCAAGTTAGAACCTGTTCAGTCCTGTTTGGGAGTTGCTAGAATGATGAGCGAACAGAAGGTACCGCGGAGTGTAGAACAATGCATTGTGATCAAATTTCTTGTTGGAGAAAACGTCCCGTCCACTGAAATTCACCACAGACTCCAACAACAGTATGGGGAAGAGTGTCTGTCACGGACCCGTCTGTTTGAGTGGTGTAAGTGCTTCAAAGAGGGCAGAGAGCGCATGGAGAATGAACCACATGGTCGTCGGCCGTGAATATCCGTCACCGAGCCAAACATTGATCGTGCAGACGTGCTTATTCGTGAGAATAGGCACATCACTATCAAGGAACTTGTAGCAATGCTGTCCATCAGTGTTGGTAGTGTAGAAGACATTGTGAAATACCACCTGCACTATCGAAAGGTGAATGCATGGTAGGTACCACAGACTTCGATGGACGGGAACAAAATGGTGCGCATGGAAGCTGCCAGTTGTCTCATACAACAGTTTGAAGACGAAGGTGATGCGTTTTTGAAGTCTATAGTGACCACCGATGAAACATGGGTGCACTACTTCATACCCAAGTCCCAGCAGTCATCATGTGATTGGAGGCATACCAGTTCTCCCAAACCCAAGAGAGTGCAGAGGAGCCGTTCGGCAAGTGATGGCAACATTCTTCTGGGACTGGCAGGGGGTTATCCATGTAGACTTTGTGACAGATGCCAGAACAGTCAATACAGCTTATTACTCAGACCTTCTGGCAACAGACATGAAGGAAAAGATCCGATCCAAGCGGAAGGCAGGTGGAAATCAGGTAGCCTTCCTTCAAGACAATGCGTGGCCCCATACGACCAAAACGACAATGGAAACCCTACGGAAATTGAAATGGAACCTTCTGACACATCCGCCGTACAGTCCCTTTTTGGCCCCAAGTGATTTCTACCTGTTCGGAAGGCTCAAATCAGACTTGCAAGACATGTGGTTTGTGGACGACACCATCATCCAGACTGTTCGGGAGTGGATATGCTGCCAGCCACAAGCGTTTTTTGAAAAGGGCATCAGGATGCTTCCAGAACGTTGGAAAAAATATGTTGACTCCGGAGGGGAGTACGTTGAAGACTGACATGTGCAAGTAAGTGTTTGACAGTTATGGTTTTAAAAAAAAATCAGTCCCGGTCATATTTCAACCACCTTGTAATTAAAACATGTAAACATACCTGTGTTATGCTGTGTCAGCCATATAGTCACAACTCTAGATTTGTCAGATCTGTCCAGGAAGTTTGGTATAGCCAACGCTGTGAAGAGATTATGCATTAGAAAGAAATTGTCATATGAATGGGTAAGGACATGAACTCAACACACACATTGAATATGTTAAAGTAGATTCCAAATTCTTTCCCCCTAATGTTATTAACCTTGTTCACCACTAGTGGTTAGGCATTCACCCACACTTGCCCAGGGTGTTGTATCATATAATGCAAGGTCATGTTAGTCCCCACCTTCCAGGTATGACAGTCCAGGTTGCGTCGAAGGTCACATCATGTGGAGTTTGTTTTGGACAAGGTGACATTGAGGCAGGTTTTCTCTGAGCAGTGTGGCTTTCCCTGCAAAACTCATTCCTCCAGCTCTCAGCATCCACTAGTTCTGTTATCAGTGCTAGTTGCAATACTGAGAGTGTTATTAAATAGTCAATTTAAAAATGCATATAATACATTGTTTTAGTATCACTTGTGCTTTCTCTTCCATCTGTAATGCAACACACTTTTTTATGTCTGGCTAAATGTTTCAGCCTCACAGAGCCATCGTCAGGCAACACATTTTGATGGAACCCATTGCACTGTGCTCACTTATGTCAGTAGTACTCGTTGATGTATATCATCATCATTCTCGATTTTAGTATTTTGAGAATGTCTGTTCTTTTTCTGTCTTCATATTTCAGCTTCTCTCTGTAATATGTAATATAGTGTGACATGTCAAACCACTGTTGGGCAACGGGATGTGGTAAGAGTTACCACGAAGACAAACTCTTGATAAATGGTCGGTTGCCAAGTTACGGAACAGTGGATCAAGGTTATGCAGCAATAAGGAAAGTGGTGTTTCTCCATGCTGTGAACCGAGCCAAACCGCGCTGGTTGCTACGGAGTAGTAAGCAACTCTTGGCAGTGTTGCCAAACAACAACTCTGTAAACATGGCAGTCATGTAACAGTGAAGCAAGCTGCGTTTTCTGCCTCTCCGATTGAGGGTTTATAAGGGAAAATGGATTAACTAAGGAGCGATTATTCTTCAGAACAGAAATCAGTCAGTCGAAGCAGCCACAGGAGGAAGAAGAACTGAACGTGATTAGAAGATTTTATGTGTGATAATGAGTGATAGTTTGTGATAACTGAGAAGGCATTGGCTATTGGGAGTGTGTAATTGAGTGACACTTTTACAGCTCCCATGTTTTACTGTAAATAAGTGAAGACTACTGGAGATAGAGTGAATAGATTAGTGTGTAGGGTTTATAAATTGTGTAAGCCTGCAACAGTGTTATAATTAATTGTAGTTACGACTATAGGTTGTTAATAAAACCAATTAACAATCCAAATGGCATCTTCAGTATCCCAAGCACTCTGCAATATGTTCGTTAGTGTAAATCTGCCTTTAATTCTTGGGCTATTCATTCATTCATTTATTGTATATTCCATAAATCCATATACATAGATATAGAACCAGTCACATAGTTAATATAGTACAATACAAATATAAATATATATGTACAGTTTATAATCATTAAAATAGATAAAAAGAAACATGTGTTAAATTTACAGTCTTACATCACTATACATAAAATTATGCAATATTAAAATTGTTTATGTTATTATCCTTATTTCTAGGCAAATTTGTTACTAAAGAATTCATCACATGTATAAAAAGAGTTTTGCAATAAAAATGTTGTCAACTGAATTTTAAAATTTAAGTCATTAGACATAGATTTGATTTTTGGTGGCAAATGATTAAAGATCTTTACCCCCATGTAACATATTCCTTTTTGGAATTGTGTCAGACTAGTTTGCGGATAATGCAGATCACAGATAGATCTGGTACTACAATTATGCATTTGCGAGTTGAATGTGAACAGTTCCTTATTTACTATGACAAACAGAGAGATCGACAATATATATTGAGCTTGTAGGGGGAGGATATCCAATTCTTGAAACAAACTATGACACAATGTTCTCTTTGTTGTATTTGTTATAATCCTAATTATCCTTTTCTGCATCCTAAACACTTTTATACTATGCGGGGAGTTACCCCAGAATATTAATCCATACGTTATTATAGAATGTACATAGGAAAAATACATCATTTTTAATGTCTCCAGTGGTAAAAAGGATTTAACTGATCGGATTGCAAAACAGGATCTGTTTAACTTATCAATTACTGCATCAATATGACTTTCCCACGTTAAAAAATTTTCAATTTTTAATCCCAGAAACGATATATTAGAAATACTTGGAATTTGATTGTTTAAATAACTAACTTGAACATTTAAGTTTTTACTGTTTTTAGTTTTAAACTGTAGAAAATAAGTTTTTTCATAATTTATTACTAGCTCATTTTTCCTAAACCATTCATTTATCATCTCAAATAATTTATTTATTCTAATTTTAAATGTTGCAGGATTCTTATCAAAGATAAGGATACTTGTATCATCTGCAAATAATATTGGTTTGGATAGGTCAGATATAATTTTTGGTAAGTCATTTACATATAGTAAAAAGAGCACTGGGCCTAATACAGAGCCCTGAGGCACTCCGCACTGTATTTCTTTCCATTCAGAACAACATTTACTCCCATTTTCATACAAAATTACTCTCTGGTATCTTCCTCTCAAATAGGATCTCATAAGTTTCTGAGCAGCTCCTTCAATTCCATAAAAGTCCATTTTTGATAGCAATATATCATGATTTACTCGGTCAAAAGCCTTACTCAGATCACAAAAAATTCCACCCGCTATATATTTGTTGTTTAAAGCCCTATAAATATTCTCCATTAGATTATAAGTAGCTAATGTAGTTGAAGAGTTTTTTCTAAAGCCGAATTGCTCCTGCGTTAGCAGGTTATGTGTATTTAAGTGGAAAATCATTCTTTTATATATAACTTTTTCAAAAATTTTAGAAAAGATTGGGAGTAAAGATATAGGTCTATAATTAGACATGTCGGTTTTATCCCCTTTTTTGTGTATGGGTATTATTTCAGAATATTTTAATCGAGCAGGGAATATTCCTGTAGACAATGACTTATTAAATATGTAAGTTAATGGTGATGATATATATGGTGCACTTGCTTTTATTAATTTGGTAGTAATTCCATCGTATCCACAAGCTGCTTTAAGTTTTATAGATCTTATTATCTCTTCTATTTCATTGCTATTAGTTGCTTTTAATACCAATTTCTGAGATGGTTTTGGAAATGAAGTGTATAAATAATCCATGAACTTCTTATCTGTTTCCACAGTATTATTTGTCCATTTCTTCGTAGAATTGCTTATATCTAAAAAAAAAGTTATTAAACGATCTTACTATATTTTTGTAGTCCTGAATGATATTACCCTTTATATTTAAACAAGTCACCTTAGTAGGAGCTTGGCTATTTCCAGTCATGTTTTTTTATAATTTTCCAGGTTGTTCTTGTTTTATTATTGGAAGTTCTTATGACTTTGTTCAGATATAACTTTTTTGCTGTTGAGATAGCTCTACTTAATATCTTGCAATACATTTTATAGTGTTCTTTTAATCTAGAATCATTATTGCTCTTAATTTTTATATAGAGCTCCCTTTTTTATTACATGATTTTACAATTCCTGGGGTTATCCATGATTTATTAGCATCTATACTATACATACTATACATAAAAAGGTGCTATTGCATCTTTTTATGTCTAAATGTTGTATATTGTGCTCATGTGCCCCTTTATGTGTGCTGCTTCCCTGGTCATGTGTAACTTATACTGATTTGGTATGGCTATCATTGGTGGTATGTGTACTGCTACCTGTTGTGAAGTTAGGAACTTGGGATTGTGTGTGTTGGTGTGTGTGTATTGTTCATGTGTGAGTTGTTCCTGCTAATTTTGTAAATGTGATACTTTTCTAAGGTATTTAAATGTCTGCCTTTCTTTCCTGTCCTTATGACAGCCAAACATATTGTAATGGATGTAACAGATTTTATCAGTGCGTTGCAAGACAACAGCTTTGTAAACATGGATACAGGCAACAATAGAAGGGAGACTGTGTTTTCTTTGTGGTCCACGACGAGCAAAAGCACGGAGCTGTGGGAAGTCTGTTTCCAGGCAGTGCAGTTGTAAACATATATCCACAACAGTGGTGGATGATGTTTTCCATGGGGTCCATGCAAAGGAGTTATCTTAAAGACAAACAGCACTATGAGTTCAATTATGAGTTCTCAATGGAAGATAGCCATGGAAGGTTCGTCATAGAAAACGGAGACTTCTTAGAGATTTGAAGTGATCGTTTCTATGCTGAGATCTGTTAGTAGGAGACGACTAGTGAAAACAGAGAATGCTAGTACGTGTGCAATGGTGAACTGTAAATTGTGGAAACAGTGATAGCACTGTATTAAATGTGATTAAGTGAGATTGTAACCAGAGTGCTAATAAATCCAGTCATCTAAACTAGAATCCACAATTATTTTGTCAAGCATACCACCCTACACATGACAGTATATTACAGAGAGAATCCTCCAATATTAAGATAGAAAAACTAAAATTGAGAATCATGAAGATATACATCAATGAGTACTACTGACATAAATGAGCACAGTGCAATGGCTTTCATCAAAATGAGTTGCCTCAAGATGGCCCTGTGAGGCTGAAACATGTAGCCAGACATAGTATATATTTTAATGACATTTTAAGATATTTTAATTAACATTGTAGTGAATCGAATGTAATTTTGGCGTTGTATGAAATAGAAAAGTGTGTTGCATTATAGATGGAAGACAAAACACAAGTGATACTTCAGTGCAACGGGATGCTGAAATATAACATTATTTTAGAACCTGTGAACTTTGTAAGACAACAGAGAACAAATTCTCTGTTGTCTATTGTCTCTGTTGTCTGTTGTCTCTGTTGTTATCTAGCCAATTTTTTACTAATATGGAGCAAAATATATAAACATTAATGTTAATATTGCCTTATAATACTATGACTCCAGCATGAATCTTACAGTTATAAAGACTGTAAACTTTGTGGAGTAATGTGAAACAAACATTATGGCCTCCTTGCCAAAGCTGCAAGAATGAAAGTATTATTCTGTGCACAGACATTCATATCCAAAGACCCCAGTGCAGCATGTACTGAACAAAGTTTTGTTTGTGGAAGAATAATTTTTCAGTTAAGTCACTGTATATATTGAAGATACAGAGATGGTGTTTAATTGTCTATGATTTCCAGAAGTGTAGTTCGAATGTCAACTCTTGTGTCTTCCAAAATGTGCATGTAAAGTCTGTCAACATCCTACTTTATCACTGTTGGTGAAGAAAAATGTCAACGTCACAGTCCAGGAAGCAGCATTTAAAGAAATATCAGTTTACTGCTTATTAGTCAACATTCATCATTTCTGGGAACTGAGAGATCAGTGAATGTCTAAATAATTGACTGTTTTTGTAATGTTATAACAGTCTGTGTATTCAGTAAAACCATTCCATCAAGAACAATGAAAGTGTTATGTTATCTCAGCTATAAGACTCATGCACATTCCATACAGGCAATCTGTATTTTGCCTAAGTGGATGCTACTGTGCAGAAAATAGCTCCTCATCAATGACTGTTCAAAGAAAGACTGACATATTACAAGGGAGAGTCACTAAATGGGACACAAATGGAAGTAAAACAGCTGTAATGGATGTAATAAGTTTTCTATGTGTATCACTAGGTAGCAGCACAGTCCAGCTTCATGACAGTCTAGGTAGCAGACATGCATGCACATATTTAGAGGGTGGTTTCAATAGTCAATGGCCACCATGCTTGAGGGTAAACTACTGAAGAGCATCGTTCTGTTGTCCATTTTTTGTGGGCAAATGGACTCGGTGCAAAGGATATTCATAAAGAAATGTTTCCTGTTTACAGTGGGAAGTGTTTATTGCATAAAGCTGTTCACAGCTATGAAATTCTCTCACGTACTTTTGAAAGTTGTAAATGATGCCTGACCAGGTTGCGAGAGAAGCAACCGTGCTGCAGGAGGATAATGATAGGCAGTGTAACACCTGCAGTCAGGTGTTCACATGGTCTAGCATACAGCATAATGCTTGAAGTTTCAGAAAGTGTGCACACGGTGTTTGCCCAGAGAACTGAAGGACTGAGAAAGAATGAACCAAATGGATCTGTCGTTGCAACATCTCTTACAGTATGTAGATGAAGGAGAAGATATGCTTAACAGGATTGTTACTGAGGACAGATCATGGGTGCATCACTACCAACCCAATTCAGAGTATGCTTCAGTGCAATGGAAACATTCCAGTTGACCTTCAACCTAAAAGTGGCCGAGATAACAGTCAAAAGACTTCTGTGCTGTGGGTTTTTATGCATTGGTAAAGTGATGGGACAAGTGTATCAATGTTGGTGGATGATATGTCGAGAAATAAATGTTTTACCAGGTTTGAATATCACATGTTTTATGTTAGTTTCCATTTGTGACCTGTTTACTTACTCTCCCTCGCATATACTGTCACTGGAGAAATACTGGAAAGTGAATTTGAATGAATGTTCCACAGTATGTTATATAATTGTGAAATAAGGTTACACTTTGGAGGACACTACTTTAGCTGTTTTTATGTTGTTCAGATACACTGTCTTGCCACTAAATAGTTTATTGATAAATTGGATGAGTCTATTCATTATGGGTACTACAGTTTTTTTTGTCAATTGTCTACATGACAACCTCTGTTTTTATTGCTGCAGCATTTTCAGAGATATTAAGTTCACTTTGATATGTTGGTATATCTTGTTGTCATTCTCAGTATATTGGGAAAGTTGTTGTAGTAAATGGGTTTGGTCTATTTTATATAGCCATTCTATGGAGGCAAAGTTCATCAAGTCACAGCTGAAGTAAAGAACCAGGCCGGTGCAATTGAATGTAGAGTTCAAGGAGAGTGGAATAGTCATTATGAATTCACATACTGTAATGTAAGTAGTGACATAAATAGAATTTTATACTAGAAAAACTGTCTACAGTAGTATGATTATGGTCTTCTGGGATGTTACACCATATGGATTACTAGACAGGTATCAGTGTCTACCAAACTACATGGCACCACATCCCAGAAGAGTGTAATCCTAATATGTGTCATGAAAACCTGTCATATTCTTTAATAACTTATTACACTGGTGTTTCGTGTAGGGTATTCTTTAAGGTAAAATAGGTAACGGTAAAGTTATTCCTGTGCTTGTTCAGTCCTGGGTCTGGTCAAGTGGGATTTGTGGTGGACAGAGTGGCGCTGGGGCCGGTTTTCTCCGAGTACTTCGATTTCCCTTGCCAATCTTCATTCCACCAAATTCCCCATCATCATCATCATCATCCGCACGGTGGCCACTGACTGGCCACCGTGCGGAGTGGACCCAGTTGGACTCCACCCCCCACTAAGCGAATATTCCTGTGCTTATATACTTCATCTTGCCATGAAGATTATGGGGGAATGGAAGTATAGATCCATTCATTCTTAACTTTCACACTGGATGGAGGTGAGTGGTCAGATTCACACTCATCCACTATACACTGTACGTGGGGAAGTCATAAAATTTTAATTATCACCCAGAAGAAACAGAGACACAGGTGCAAGAAATTGTATGCGAGTTAGTCCTTCTCTACATATGCCCCCTGCAAGGCCACACATTTTCCCTAATGATGCATTAGCTGCTGGATACATTGATCATAGAAGGTATCATTTTGACTGTTTAGGAAGTCCTCCACACCAGAAATGATCTCATTATCTTGAAAGTGCTTACCATGAAGTGGCTTCTTCAGCCATGGAAAGAGAAAGAAGTCTCTCAGTGCCAGGTCTGGTGAATATGATGGATGGGGGAGATTTTCATATCCCAAACTGGCAGCAAGTATCAGCATAGCATAAGCAGTGTGAGCCGGTGCTTTGTCATGAAGAAGTCACACACATTTTCTCAGCATTCTGTGTCACTTTTTCTTGATTTCCTCCCGTGATTTTCTCAGAAGGTTCTGGTAGTACTCGCCAGTGACAGTGACGCCCTTTTGCACGTAGTCGGTCCTGATGACACCCTGCTGATCCCCGAACACACTCAACATCACCTTGCTGATAACATTCCATCCATCATGATCAGACAGTCGAAAAATTTCACGTTTTCATGTTTTTCAAAAGTTTCTTTGCCACATCCATCTGTTGCTGTTTTTGAACTGGTGTCAACAATCGTGGCATCCAGTGCTCAGCGACCTTTGTCAAGTGTAACTCATCATGGATGTTGAAAACCGACCCATGGCTAATGCGGACCTCATGAACGATAGCTTTGATAGTTATGCGCCTATCGGATAGGATCAAAGCTTCCACTTGTGCCACAGTTTCTGGTTCCTCAGTGAGAGATAGTCTTCCACTTCAGGGTTCATCTTCCGGAAGCTCCTCTTCCATCTGATCGCTGTGCCATATGATGGTACACCTTCCTGATACACAGCGGTCATCTGGTCATGGATCTCCCTGGCAGACTTCCCTTGCAAATGCAGGAACCATATCACAGCACAAGCCTCCACTTTCTCAACTAACATTGCCATTTTGCTTCTGCCCCTTCCTGTGGCTCCCTCTGTCCACTTGGCACTGGAAAATTTGGCTGTTCGGCAAGGTGAGGAAATGGGCTTATATATATATATGTCGAACGATATTTTGGAATTATGATTTTCTCATGGTAATATTTAAAACATTGTGACTTCCCATCGTATAGCCATCAGTTAGGAGTTTATGTTGGCACCAGATGTAGTTCCCGAAATATATTAATAAAAACTATAATGTCTTACCTGGGTCTTATTCTGCACAATCACCTTCAAAGTAGCCCCCTTGGGAGCACATACACCGATCCTAGCGTTTCTGCCACTTTTGAAATGCATCCTGGAAGTTTNCTGCCTCTGATAAAATTTGTTGACATGTATCGGAACTTAGTCCCAAGGTGTTACAGATGTCTTGGATGGACAGTCTATGATCTTGCAGAATCAGATCCCTAACTTTCGCGACATTTTCTGGTGTGGTGCCAGTTGACGGCCATCCCGAACAATCATCATCATCAGTTGATGTTCGGCCGTTTTTGAAACACTTATACCAGTCGTAAGTTTGCATCTGGCCTAAACTGATGTCACAAAAAGCTTGCTTCAACATTTGGTGCCTTTCTGCAGCGGGTTTCCCAAGTTTAAAACAAAACTTTTTACAGACACGCTGCTCTCTCAGGTCATCAATCACAAAACTGCAAACTCACAGAAACACAACGATGGAAATACGTTCACCAACAATAAACTCAATCACTCAACTCGACACCACTTGCCACACTGATTCAAGAGGGATGTGTGGGGAGACATCTAGTGGTATTTCGATGTACTTATAACCATTCGTGCACAAAATTCAAATTTCGGGAAATTTTTGATAGCACCACGTAAATTGTCAGACGTAAATCCTTGTGCAGTTTGATTTCACCATCAGCGGCAACAGTTTTCCATCAGCATGTCGGCTGGAATTTCAGGTTCTTGCCACATAGGCCCTCAATTACCATAATTCTTCTTGAGCACATGTAAATGGACTGTTGGAAGACATGTTCTTCAGTATGTCTTCTCACATGTGGTATCAACACAAAGAGTGTTCCACCACATTATGGTGTTGAAGAGCATTAGTGGCTGTGAAAATTATCCTGCATGCTGGATTGGTTGGGGATGTGACTCTTCAGTTTTGTGGTTTGCATAGCCATGTGACTTGAATCCTCTTTATTTTTTCTTTGAGAATATATGAACACCAAGGTCATTGTCAGTACAATCAATATTAGAAAGGATCCGTGGCATTAGATTGAGAAATTTATAATGGAAATAGAGCATACGCCCAGAATCTTCTGACACTTGTGAGTTTCTTTTCCATGCAAATCTGAATTGTGCATCCATGAACATGGAGGCCATTTCAAGCACCTCTTGTAAGAAGATAAAAATAAAGAAGTTATTAATAGCTCTTCTGTTTGCTTTTTCTTATACACAACTTACTAAAATTAGAAAGGATTTAAGGTGTGACCATTAATGTTGAAAATAGAATAGCTTAACTTTTCAAAGAAGGCCCTCAGGGTACATATTCATGTGAACATTGTTACATACTTTGATGTTCAGAAAGTATCCTGTAAAATATAGCGCATAGTATTGAGACTCTCTGTGTGTGCTCTTATGTGCATGAGCATGTGTATTAGTATATGGTGGCCACAGTTTCAGTACTTTTCATTACAATTTTTCTAATTATGCTAGGGAGAAAGCAAAATAATCAGAGTCCTTGAACTTCCTATTTACAAGAAGAGGGTACGAAAAATATCTGAGCAAGGAGAAAGAGAATCACGGAAACTATGGTATAACGTGACACAGGCACTGAAGATAGATGACATTGACTCGGCTACTGAATATAAGCAAAGGGTAAGTTCAGTGTTGTGTGTGTGTGCGTGCTTCTGTTAGACCCACTAAAGTGGACATGTTCCTCTAGAGACCAAAATACCATGTTCTTCTTGCAGCATAATCTCCATTTTATATGAGTGAATGGTTGAAAGGCCTCCATCTGTTCTTTCACCCAACAGTCTTTCCCTTTTGTTTCTTGCCAGTTCTTTTCTCTCATTTTCAGTATGCTTGACTAAACCATCTCTTTCTGGATTGTCCCACAGACCACTTTCCTTAAAAATTTAATTCAGTTGCCCAGGTCTACACAGTTCCTGGGTGTCAGGTCCCCCAAAATATTTGTGAGGACACTGAGAATTTTCTTCCTATTACATTACTACTAGCACATGGCCTGTCAAAGGTAATGGGCAAAATTATTTCTTCTTTTCATTGTCTCTTGGTATTTGCTTTCCTTCTTGCCCCCTACATAATCTTTCCCATCCCATTCACATGTCCATTTGACATTTATTCCTTTATAGCCTTTGTGTTATGTATTGAAAATATTCAAAGAATTTTCAGAGAAACTTGTGCTTGCTAAGGTGTTTGAACAATGTACAACTGTTATTGCTGTACTCATACACTAAAAATATTTCCTCATGCAGTAGTGTGTAAAACTGTATTGATATTGAAACAATTTAATGTTTTTATTTGCCAGTGTAAAAGTTTTAAATGTGTTCAAAATACATTCATATTGTCACATGTAAGGTAGTATGTGTGACGAAAATAACAGGTTCTAGTTCAGATGATTGGATTTATTAGCGCTCGCTAACACTGATTTACACAATTCACAGTTTGCCCTGCAGCTAGCTTCCAGCCCCTATGCCGCTTCCTCCATCATTTGACTGGTTTCACTACGGCATCTTCCTTAGGGACCTCCCGATCTTCTGACTCAGATTCCATTTCCTCTGGATTTGCCTTCAAATCCATGGCTTACAGCTTTTCTTGATTAGCTTTCATCATAGCTGTCATGTGTTCCAAGATCTCTATTGTGCAGTCATTTGCATCCATCTTCTCTGGATTGGCCTTCATTGCTTCTTGGCAGGCCTTCCTCTCTTTTCAACGATCCTTCATGTCCATTATCAAAGCTTCCATCTTCTCTTGATGTTCCATTTCGGGTTCCAGTCTTATCTGGTTGGAGTTTATCTTGTTGTAAATGGCTTCCAGCATTGCTTCTCGGTTGTCTTTTTGTTCAACTTTCCTTCTTCTTCTTCTCTCTCTCTCTCTCCCTCTCTCTCTCTTTTTTTTTAGGCTTCCCACTCGGCCATCATCTTCTCTTTGTAGGCTTTTCTTTTAGCGTCCAATCTGTCCATCCATCATTTCATTAAAGGCTTTCATGCCTGCCCTGCCCCTTTTCTTGGTCAACGTCTGTCTTTGCGTCATTAGTGTCTAACTTGTCTTGCCTGGCTTTTACGTCCTCTTCCATTTCCATCTGCATGTGGGTCCTCAGTGGTTGCACCTGTGCACAGGGTGCATGCACTACCAGCATTTCCCTTATTTTTTGCCTCATTTGTACCATTTTCTAAGTATGACTACCCAATTCAGTCTTTTTAATCCAATGCTGTTTCCAGTTGTCACGAGTTTATGGCTTTGTCACTGCTAACACCAAATTTTCACATATTTACAGTCATAACCACTGCAAGAAAATCCAGTATGATCCAAACCCCCAGATTCTGATACCAAAATGTCACGTGTAGGGTGGTACATGTGACACAAATAATGGGTTCTAGTTTGGATGATTGGCTTTATTAGGATTGTGGTTACACTCTTTCTCATAATTAAAATTAGTACAATGCCATTGCTGATTTATATGACTCACAGTTCACCATTGCACACACACTAGGATTCTCTGTCTACAGTAATCATCTGCTGGCAACAGCTCTCAATACAGAAAGTAGCCCTTCAAATCACCATGACATCATCTTATTTCAGCTTCAGTCACTCCGTTCCAGTCTGTACTCAACTAATCTTCACAATTCGCTGTGGATACCCTCCATTCTCGTCCTTATACTCTCAACTGCTGAACCCTCCTGGACTCTACACTAATCCAGACTACAACGTGTCTTCATTATATAGGCCCTGCACCGGCAACACAGAAAACACAGTTCTATTGTAGCTTAGCACACCACACAGAAAAGAAGTCACGTAATAGCTATCTCGCAAGTCCATTGGTGCTCTGACTGTTGCCTGGCATTGTGTTGACATATCACAATATTTTAAATATAGTTAATTCTCATTATGTTTGTATTGAATTTCTTTTTCCGTATATAGGCATTATACGTTCAACATATGTTTTACATGATCCACTAGATAGCACTCATTATGCGTTTGAACACAGAACTATTACTTCAGAGTAGCCTGTGGTGGAAGACTGCTGAGTTTCAGACAAGAAAGAATGTAGAATCAAAAGGCAAGGGGAAATCCAGATACACCCAAATTCATTTGGACCTTGAATTTACAGAGCCTTAAGAAACTGAATATCAGTACATTGTTTCTGATGACATTATTTGTATTTAATTAAAGCATCCTGTTTCAGTGTGAAAAATACAATCACAATGGATCATCATCACCATCAGCAGAATGTGCTTAAAACTTTCTTACTGTTGCATTATTATTATAATTTCTTTCTTCCTTTTCTCAGCCCCTTTTGTATTATTTCTTTATCTCCTTCCCTCATTTCTCTCTTATTTCTTTTCCATCTCTTTTATTTGACCATCTTATTGTCATACCTCTTCTTGTATCCCAGCGTTGGCAACCTAGATGATCCCTGAATATGACGGGAAGGCTACTGTTTGTATGTGAATGCTTCATTTGTCCATTTTTAAAAAATTATAGCAAATTTCTCAGGCAAAGTATTTTCATTTCCATTGTGGCACCTAATTCATAGAGTTGGCTCCTGGATTTATAGGAAACACTTGCAGGCCTACTAATGCCCTTCTTGGCATTCTTGTTCTGTCCTTTCTTTTTGTGGCCCAGCCTTTGCAATCATTTTTCTTCTGACTTTCACAATGATTTCTGAATTCCAACATGTTTAATAATGTCATTCCTAATGCTATATTTCTTGTTTTTCCTTCACTGCTTTCCCAAAATTTTATATCCATTTCTTGGGTTTTGCTACTCTTTGTATGAAGACTCATGATTCAACATTACATGTAACCATCAGTTCTGAATATTATTTGTAGATTCTTTTGCATTACTTGTGTTATGTTTCATAGTATTCCTTTTATAATGTGATAGATCTTAGAACCATTTTGTATTCTTCTATTGATCTGTCTGTTGATTTTCATTTCTGAATTTATTTCAGTTCTCAAATACTGTCCATATGAAATTCCCCTGGTTACAATTCTGCCCATATTTAATTTCTGTCTAGTACTTACTCATGGAGCTGAGTCCTTCTGGAGGAGCTGCCAATTCTGCAGCTGCTCAAGAATTTCCCGGCATTTTATGGAACCCGAAGGTTCATTACTGTGTTCACAAGAGCCCTCCACTGGTCCCTATCTTGAACCAGATCTATCCAATCCATACCATCCCATCCTATCTCTCCAAGAGCCATTCTAATATTGTCCACCCACCTACGCCTTGGTCTTCCCTATGGTCTCCTTCCTTCTGGCTTTCCCACCAATATCCTATACGCATTCCTCGTCTCCCCATTCGTGCTACAGGACCTGCCCACCTCATCCTCCTTGACTTGATCATTCTAATTATACTTGGAGAAGAGTACAAGTTATGAAGCTCCTTGTTATGCAGTTCAATATTCCTGTATAATATTACACCCAGCTTCCTCACATCTTTTACCTTTTAATGTTATGATTTCATTAATTGATGATTTGACTAATCAGGGCTTTGTTGGGATGGTGGCAGTTGGAAACTTATCTCAGGGTCATATTAACTTGAGTGATAACTAAGTGGATGAGGAAGAGTCGAGGATAACAATAATGAATAATTAAGACAGATTGTTAGGTGAGCTAATATTTTTTTATTCAGGTTATTTAAACACTGAAATCATCCAGTAATTTTGTGAAATTTCTTATGATGACAGCATGTTAAAGTTTAGATTGATTTGTTTTTATTAAAATGACAAATTAGTAAATTTGTGCCTTTGGCAAAATGTTATGGACAATTTTTTAAAATGTTCTTATCATCAACAGAGATGTAAATGTGTAATGTTGATGCACATTCCCATCATGAAGTGTGTTGACCTTTACAGTCTCAAGTATATATTCATATGAAATTTCAGACTTCAGATAAAAGAAGTATGAATGAAACTTTGGGATTGGTCAAACAGATCCTCTCATTTGATTGTTTGTCATAAGCTGGCCAGTCATGTAATGTTCTGCAACTTCCACACTAAACTCAGAATTCCCGACCATGCTTGAAAAGGCTGTTTGAAGGATGAGTTTTGAATGTTTGCTTGAAAATGCAGTGCCAGTAAAACTATCACACAGTTGGGGCAATAGTCAACTTTTCATCTGAATAAATGTCTTGCTAGGAGGTTCAAGTGATAACATGTCTATTGACAGGAAAGAAACACCAGCTTTCTTAAAAGGAAAAGTTGACAAATCTTGTAATTTTGGCTACAGAATATCTCTGAAGCATTGTTACTTGGCCTGACTTATTCTTTTATGGGTTCTTCTGAAAGAAGGTGCAGGATCATAGGAATGATTTACTGTGCCTTCATCTTGGTCCCCTGGCTCTGGCCTTGGCAGTATTGAAGGTAGCTGTAATGAGGTTCCATGTCTTTTCTTGAGATTAGCACAGCATCTACAGGTATTGTTTTCATGCCAAGTCTTTGTTATCTTTTTTTAACTGTATTAGCAATTTCATCCATCATGGCATTAAGCAAAATTGCTGAGATGGAACTTATCTCACTTAATTGCTTGTTTTGAACCATCCTCATGTTTACAATATTGTTTTACATTACTTGCACTTGTTCTGCGAGATGTTCTGATACTGCCAAACTTCTACTAAGGTGACTTGTTTAAATATAAAGGGTAATATCACTCAGGACTACAAAAATATAGTAAGATCGTTTAATAACTTTTTTTTAGATATAAGCAATTCTACGAAGAAATGGACAAATAATACTGTGGAAACAGATAAGAAGTTCATGGATTATTTATACACTTCATTTCCAAAACCATCTCAGAAATTGGTATTAAAAGCAACTAACAGCAATGAAATAGAAGAGATAATAAGATCTATAAAACTTAAAGCAGCTTGTGGATACAATGGAATTACTACCAAATTAATAAAAGCAAGTGCACCATATATATATCACCACCAAAACCGACATGTCTAATTATAGACCTATATCTTTACTCCCAATATTTTCTAAATTTTTGAAAAAGTTATATATAAAAGAATGATTTTCCACTTAAATACATATAACCTGCTAACGCAGGAGCAGTTCGGCTTTAGAAAAAACTCTTCAACTACATTAGCTACTTATAATCTAATGGAGAATATTTATAGGGCTTTAAACAACAAATATATAGCGGGTGGAATTTTTTGTGATCTGAGTAAGGCTTTTGACCGAGTAAATCATGATATATTGCTATCAAAAATGGACTTTTATGGAATTGAAGGAGCTGCTCAGAAACTTATAAGATCCTATTTGAGAGGAAGATACCAGAGAGTAATTTTGTATGAAAATGGGAGTAAATGTTGTTCTGAATGGAAAGAAATACAGTGCGGAGTGCCTCAGGGCTCTGTATTAGGCCCAGTGCTCTTTTTACTATATGTAAATGACTTACCAAAAATTATATCTGACCTATCCAAACCAATATTATTTGCAGATGATACAAGTATCCTTATCTTTGATAAGAATCCTGCAACATTTAAAATTAGAATAAATAAATTATTTGAGATGATAAATGAATGGTTTAGGAAAAATGAGCTAGTAATAAATTATGAAAAAACTTATTTTCTACAGTTTAAAACTAAAAACAGTAAAAACTTAAATGTTGAAGTTAGTTATTTAAACAATCAAATTCCAAGTATTTCTAATATATCATTTCTGGGATTAAAAATTGAAAATTTTTTAACGTGGGAAAGTCATATTGATGCAGTAATTGATAAGTTAAACAGATCCTGTTTTGCAATCCGATCAGTTAAATCCTTTTTACCACTGGAGACATTAAAAATGATGTATTTTTCCTATGTACATTCTATAATAACGTATGGATTAATATTCTGGGGTAACTCCCCGCATAGTATAAAAGTGTTTAGGATGCAGAAAAGGATAATTAGGATTATAACAAATACAACAAAGAGAACATCGTGTCGTAGTTTGTTTCAAGAATTGGATATCCTCCCCCTACAAGCTCAATATATATTGTCGATCTCTCTGTTTGTCATAGTAAATAAGGAATTGTTCACATTCAACTCACAAATGCATAATTGTAGTACCAGATCTATCTGTGATCTGCATTATCCGCAAACTAGTCTGACACAATTCCAAAAAGGAATATGTTACATGGGGGTAAAGATCTTTAATCATTTGCCACCAAAAATCAAATCTATGTCTAATGACTTGAAAAATTTTAAAATTCAGTTGACAACATTTTTATTGCAAAGCTCTTTTTATACATGTGATGAATTCTTTAGTAACAAATTTGCCTAGAAATAAGGATAATAGCATAAACAATTTTAATATTGCATAATTTTATGTATAGTGATGTAAGACTGTTTTTTGATATAAATTTAACACATGTTTTTTTAATCTGTTTTAATGATTATAAACTGTACATATATATTTATATTTGTATTATACTATATTAATTATGTGACTGGTTCTATATCTATGTATATGGATTTATGGAATATACAATAAATGAATGAATGAATGTACACTTGCACTTGTTCTGCGAGATGTTCTGATATTGTACTATCATTAAGCATGACCAAATCTTTATTGTCTTTATACTGACCTCCACTTTTTTCAAAATTCATAAATGGAAGTATCATATCTTTGCAAAACTCTTATTCTTTCTCACTTAATTGTCTGATTGTAAAGGTCAGATCTGTCATGAATCTTTCCAAATGAAATGCATGTTGCATATTATTTTTATCAAAATGCTATAACCATATGCCATAATATCAGCAAAAGATGAGCATTCACACAGCCTAAACCATTACGCATTTGAAATTCAGCAAGTTGTAAATAATATGACCTTCTGGAATATAGTGAATAATTCACATACTCTGACTGTTCCCAAAGAGACATAGTGGCTACTGTAATGTAATTTATGAAAACCTGATCCTCAACTAACATTTAAGTTTGCTCATTAAGCCAAATACTGTCCCAAACAAAGTTGAGAGAAACACAGGTACCAACTTGTATTACCACCCTTATTTTTCTTTCATCTGTTTCTAAACTTGTGGGCATTGAGTTCTGCCAGCAGTGGTCATGAAGAGTTCTGTCTACTGGGATATAATGCTATGTAGTCTGTTGAAAGTCAGTCACTTTTCAGAAGAATGTGTTTCCTCCATCTTTATGGTTGAAGAGTAACCCAAGGAAGAAACCAGCATGAGGTAGGCATCAGGCATAGCTTCGACCCTGAAGATAGAGTTGATGTGTTCCTACAGAATGTCATTTGACTTTCAGTGGAGTACATGATGTTCTATCCCATACAGTAGAACTTATCTTACTGCCAAAGTTGATTGAAGATTTAAAGTTTTTCTACCATGCTAGGATACCTGGATGCTTGCACCACTACTTTTCCAAGGCTCACAACAAGAACCTGATATCGACATTGACAGCCTGAGTCATAGGGGTTGCTCCAGGCCAGTGTGTTGAAAACATAGTTCATGAAAAATGCTGATGATGTCTGTAGAGTCTGTCACCAATTCTGACGTTCATGTGTATGACATGAAAAGTAACATATTCTCTTTAAAATGTGGCAGAAAAATAAAATAGCCCCATCCTAAAGAAAATATACATAAGTCAGAATTAGAATACATAATTCCGCATAATGAAATACATGTTATTACTGAATGCAAGTTACAGTACCAAACTGTTCTAGATAAAATATTGGACTTACCAACATAATTAAGAATATACTAGTATGTTAATTGATTACTTCATTTTTATTTCAGTTGGAAGAACAGCAAAGGCTTGAACAGAGGATAAGAAAAGAATCAGGCATGCAGTATCCAACAGCCTATTTTAAAAAAAGAGGTGATAGTTGGGTTTTCAACAACTTATTGTGTGAAGTATAAATCATGTGACAGAAGTGAAGCATAAAGATTAATGTCAGTAACTGGATATCTTGTGATCATGTTAGATCTCATGTACTTTGGTAACTATTGAAGCTTTTAGTGCATTATGAACTTAATCAAGCAAGAATGCAGTCTGTAAAGTGATGACCAAGATGGCCAACAAATTCTCAGGGGTATACTATTGTGTTAGCTTTAATACTTGTATATGAAGAGATATAAGATAGTGATCAGACACTTTCTTTGTTCTTTTCACATTAATATATTTTGATGCTTCAGTAAGATCATATTGTATTAACATGCAATTATTGTCTTTACTGGCACTCATACAGATTCCATGTAAGCTTTTATTTTTCCCTGTGAGAAAGTGATGAATTGTATGCACACACACATGCTTATGCATGTGTGTTTGCATCTATACACTCTTGTGTGTTTGTATGTGTATGTGAAATGTGTTATATATGAAGTGTATGAAATGATGTTATCATTCCATTGCATGTATTCGTGAAGGTGCTTATATCATTATTCATTAATATTGATTACAGCAATAGAACCGTTTTCAGTGTGTTCTGATCATTTGAATTTACAAGGTTGGACAACTTAATTCCTTGGCAGAGTCCATTATGTGCATTTAAAAGTGCATTATGAACATGTTTCAACTTTTCCTTCATATTCCCTATGCAACGTCAGTCATTTCTCTCTTATCATTCATGCTCAGTCATTTTTAATATTTTGTACCCTGCAGATCACTGTGACAGTTTATTGTGATTAAACAAAGAGCAAGCATTAAGTTCTGTTTCAAGACAGATGACATAACTACTGAAAATTTCCAGCTGACAAAAGAGGCTTATGGTGACAATGCTGTCTCTTGTACATGGGTTTGTGTATGCTATTCAAGATTTTGAGATGGTTGTGAAAATCTCAAAGATGACAAATGTAGTGGACTACCGACAGCCATTCAAAAACTTGACATGATCAAAATAGTTCAGGAATTGATTTCAACAGATCATCAAATGACACGTGAAAATCTCAAAGATGACAAATGTAGTGGACAACCAACAGCCATTCAAAAACTTGACATGATCAAAATAGTTCAGGAATTGATTTCAACAGATCATCAAATGACACTTTCGATGATGGAAGAGATACTCGAAATTTGCAGGGAAACCATTCACAGAATCTTAGTGAAAGGTCTTGGAAAAAGAAAAATCTGCACTAGGTTTATTCCCCACTGTTTGGCTGATGAAGAGAAGGCTCTCAGACTACAAGATGCTTCTTTGAATGATGATAATCCCTTGCTTGACTCCGTTGTAAAGGGTGTTTTCAGTATGATCCCCAAACAGAAAGAGTGCACGGAAAGGCACTTGCCATGGTCTCTTAAGACACAAAAGAATTTTGATTTAAAAAGTAAAAAAAAAAAAACAATGTGGTTTTGATTATATATGTAGAATGTAACGCCGTGGCGGCAGGGGGGCGTGGAGGATTCCCTCGCCGCCGCCACGTGTAACGTCCCTGCGACGGGTGGATTGGTTGTCCACCGCGGTCGCCACTTGTAACACCGTGGTGCAGGGGGGGGCGTGCAGGTACCCCTCCTTGCTACCACAGCTTACGCTGTAAGGAGTCAACACCATAATCCTAGCTTACCCTCAGCTAGGATTCTCCAGTTTCGGGGCTCCCTTCTCTGTTCACCATTTGTCCTCTCTATTGTGGGAACTACCCCCTAACATATAGTCATAGCTCCCTCGTGACAACTCCTCATATAGTCTACAGGTAGCCACGTGTTACATTATTAATACATCCTAAGGGGCGTTGGTATCAAGGCTACTAACTGCTGCCTGTGTGGCAGGTGCCTACCCTTGTCCATTCCTAGTACCCCCCCTTAAGCATTCAGCTGCTGTTGCAACTCTCATTTTGGGTAGGATCTGCTGGATGGGTCATGGCAAGGTGATTATGGAGTGTGAGTCACAATTCCCTGCGTACATCCTATCCTATCTACTCTATCTATTTACACTCTTATATTTACATGATTTACAATATTTACATTATTAACAAGGCCGACTTTCAGTCGGAGCTACATAGACTTCACTTCACGCTACACTAGGAACCTTCCCTTCGGGGGTGTAAAACTGGAGTCTCTCTCTCTCTCTTCGACTCCTGACTATAGGCAAGTATTAGTCGTTCCATGTGATCCTGTTTCCCTACTATTCATTAAATACGATTCCATTATCCCTTGTCAAGTTTCACTCTTAACATGATCTACCCTTAGTTATACATATTGAAACCCACATACTATATTTATCACTACACGCTAACCATAACTTTGACCCATACACTATACAACCCTTATTGCCTGACTAACATCCTAGGCAATTACATGTTACATGATTCTAGTATCCTCCCCTAAGGGCTCGCCGGGCACACTGGAGTTTGCACATTGAAATCTCACAACACTTTTTATCAACAATACTATTAAACAACATGGCTGATATGCGTAAACGAAACTTACTTGACATAGAAGAATGCAGGCCCTTCCAGCACTTGTCAGACCCATATTGAATAGCGCCTCCGGCTGACAACTGAATATTGTCTATTAGATCAGATCCCAAGTCTCTTAAATTTAGTAATTTATAGTTGCAATTTGCCAATTCAGCTGTTGATGACAGAGGGTAGTTAACTCCTCCCTTTTTGTTCTCAATTCCCAAAGTTATATTCTAATTGGTTATTCCCTGGGGATGTGGGCGGGCCCACGGCGTCTCATCACTGTTTATGCGGTAATATTACGATACTCCTGTGGCCCCATTAGCGAAGCGTCTTACTTACGCTATTACGCATGAATGCTGATCATCACATTCGTAACCTAGTTGCCTGTCCAGGTGTTGACATATTACTGTAATAGCTGTAAAACACTTTTCGCAAGTCTCGAACATTTAGGTAATGCCTTACAATCTCAAATTTGAGCCACTACATAGAATCAGGGAATCATTCACAAATAATTTGTTCCACATTGAATAAAGAATAGTATGTGGAAGTACTGTCTCATTTGATTTAAAGAATTAGTCAAATAAGAGCTCAGTTTCTAGAAAGAGGAAGCTGGTTCCTCTTGCATGACAATGCAAGACCTCACACTGCAGTATCAATAAAGCAGTTTGTAACAAAACGAGCTATTCCAGAATTAAGTCACCCTACCTCCCTCATATTCTCCTGATTTATCCCTACCAGACTTTCTTATTCCCCAAGATCAAAATCCATGCTGGAAGGCAGTAGGTTTGAAGACAAATTGTAACAAAGGAATTGTTGACATTACATGTAGATGAGTTCAAAAAGTGTTTTCAGCCATTTTATGAGGAAGAAAAAAGTTGTGTGACATCTGAAGATTATTTTGAGGAATATTAAAATATATTTTCAATTTTAAATGTGTTTTCTTTTAATTTATGCAGTCCTGGAAATTAATTGTCTAATCTTGTATGTAATTAAAATTATTTGTTTAAATACTAAAAGTTATACCATTTTCTTTTTTGAAAACATAATTTATAGTAACAAATCTGATGGATTTGGTATTGGTGTCTTTTTTTTTTAAATTCTTTTCTTTCCCATTTCCCAATATAACCAGGCTTTGGTGTAATATAATTATGTTTTAAATTATTTAAACCAGTGGTGGTATAAGAGTTCTGCATATTGGTTAAATAGTAGGTACATTCACAACTTCTGGATTAATTTTAGTTCTGTATAACTCATCATTTAATAGTCCTGTTACAAGAATAATATTGTATTCACAGACTATAAAACAACCCCCTTTCCTAGTGGAAAGTTTTAAGGAAAGACGATTTCATTGAGTATGCAGATAGAATTTTTGACCTGAGTAACTGTGCTACCAGCCGGAACGTTGCAGATCAATTCCTGATGATGATGGTTTTTTCATTTGATCTAATCCTTCCAGCTACATTATGGCCCTGGGGTCAACTCAGTCCCTAACAGAAATAAGTATGAGGAATCTTCCTGGGAGTAAAAGGCAGCTGGGGTGTAAGGCTGACAACCTCACAACCATCTTTCAACCAGTTACCTAAGAAGTGTGGGAGCCTTCCTTATGGGGCTCCACTGCCTGTAACAGGGATAGCTTTACTGATTAATTCTCTTAAAATTTACATCCTTACTAACGCTTCAAAATGAACATGTTTTCAAAATAATCATGACCATTTTTTTTATTGAACTTGACCCTATTTACAATGAATAATCTCCCTTCAAAAGATTGTCATTCCAAGGAAATTATATGCACCTGAATATATAGTTCTATGCAAATTTAAGTTTTATGAATTGAAATGAAGTTAAAATATAACATTTTTACCTGTGGAATGTTGACTAAAATGGATTAAAATTCTTTAAATTCTGCAATTATTTTTCCTCTACCACATTATCAAGTATTGATATTAATTTAAGTAAATAATATAAGTGGGACATTGTAAGAATTTTCATGTATTTTACATAGATATAAATGTTGCAGTGTTTAACTCTTCACAACTGACTACACCTTCGGTGAAGCAACCAAGTTCTATAATCATTTGGGAAGGTTCAACAGGCTGCAGCTGTATTTACAGATGGTAGAGTCAAAAAGTTCATTAACTTTTTCAACTGAATGACTCGGTATTTAGCAGGAGTCTTTCTTGTCTGGACACTCATGGATATGTGTGGAAGGCATGGATAAGCATTGTGTGTGGCATGCACAATCAGCCTGTGAATAAAAAGTGTTAAGTACACCAAAATTTGATTTGTTTGCTCATTTAGTGAGATGGCAAATGGCAGAATATGTTATTTCTGTAGTCTGACTGAACTCAGCTTTCTCTTTACACAATAAAGAAGAATGTGTGTCAGATATTTTTATAGCAGCATGTAACAGTGATGCAGAATGGAGTGCATATGTGTAGTAGCACTCAGGAGTTTTAAGTTTTGTTTATGACTTGGCAAGACGTTCTGACAAACCTGTGGCATGATTAGGAAAACCTCTGGGGACAATGTCGTGTTTTGAAATTACAGTATACGGATAAATGAGGCATTTCAAAGAAGACTGACAGTCACTGGAAAATGAACTAAAAACAGGAAGTCTAATGGTTCTTCACAATGAAGAAAGTGTTGTTCACAAGTACATTCTGAAAAGCATAATGTTAGCAGGACCATGTAAAGAGGCATTCCTTGCTGTCTGCAACAACCTGTCTGTGGTAAATACCCTTGTCTTTGGGAGTCTAGAAATTGGGTGCACAATTATGATAATGCACCAGCTCATCAGTCTTTTGGTGGAGCAGTATCTGTCCAGGAATAGTATCAGTGTCGTTTTACAGACTCCCTTCACTACAGAAGTAGTCCTCGCTGATTACTACTTTTTCTGAAGAGTGAAATTCTTCTTGAAGGCACTATTCAGTTCCAGTTTACAAAAGAAATGAAAAAAGTCTTCTATAATAGCACTTTTGCAGAATGCAGGAAAAGGCCTACATTAATGTATGGCCTGCTGGATGATATGTATGGTGGCAGAAGGAATGTACTTTCAAGACTATGCATGATGAAACCCATTATGGTGATGGATGAACTCACACAAGAACCTTTTGATTCTGTCATATACTGTAGTTGTATTATATATTCTTCTCTGGCTTCAGAACAGGAAAAATATGGAGATGAAACAGACTCACATAACATGTTGCAAAAAGCTATTAGGAATATTGTGTAGGCTTCATGGAATATTTTATATGATAAAATCAGTGCACCTTAATGAGCAGGTACACAGTTACTGTGATTAATCATAAGTAGACACTTATTTGAATGCAAAGAGAAATCTAGCATGGAAGCATTATTTCCACTCTGTGCAGAGGATGAACAAGGTATACTTTGAAGTACATTCATAATTACAGTTTTAAATGTTAATCTAACTAGAAATGTATAACACATTCTTGCCTTTAGTGTGTCATAATGTAAGTAGTGCAGCTTTTTTTTTAATTGCTAGTGGGGAGGGAGTAAGTCCCTTGTACTGTGGCCACTTCTGGCCTATTGTACCAGCCCCAGATGATAGGTGAGGGTGATTGTGGAGCAATTGGTGGAATGAAGATTGATGGGAACCCGAAGTACTTGGAGAAAACCTGCCCCAGCGCCACTTTGTCCACCACAAATCCCACTTGACCAGACCCAGGATGGAACATGGGCTGCCGCAATGGGAAGCCAGCGACTAACCGCTTGAGCTATGGCGTGGCCAAGTAGTGCAGCTAAATACATGATGACACACTGACAGAAAATAAGACAATTTTATGTTAGATATTGTTAAGTATTTTTATTTGTCAAGTGCAGTTCATATACATAAGTATATGACAATATTGAAATAAGAATTTTTCAAAATGTACGCTATTGGTGATAATTATTAGTGTTTTATTTTTGTGAAGAATAATGTAGGTTTATGTTTTTGTATGATATGTGAAATAGTAGTGAATAGTTAACGGTCATATCAGAGAAATATTATTATATAAACTTAATTTCCTCCACTACATATTTCAGCAACTGAAGTTTCCATCTTATGTATTTCTTCTATGACAAATGGGATTTGCAGATCATTATGAATAGTAAAGTTGGAGACATATCAGTGTGCTTTAGTTACTGAGTGCAAGAATTTGGATTGAAGTCTTTGAATTATTTTCGTATTTGATGGTTTTATACAGCACCACAGCTGTATACTATATGTCCATACAGGTTTTATTATTCACTTGTATGGTAGGAATTTGTTTTCTACAGCATGGATTTATGGCCCAAAAGCCAGGACATTTCTCATAGTTTTAAGTTTAATTTCATACTCTTTGTTTTGACATGTTTCTGTCATGTAATTTTTTGGTCAATGTATAATCCCAAGTATTTTACTTGTTTTTGTACCCGTATTTGCATATTATTGATGGTAACCTGTGGGCAAGTTATACATTTAATTGTGAATGTAACTTGCACTGATTTTGTCTGGTTTATTTTAATTTTCCAATTTCTGTACCGTTGCTGCAGGCGGTTTAAGTGATGCTGAAAATGTTGTGATGCTACTACTGGATCATTATTTGCTGCAAGCAGGGCTGTCTCCTCCATGAAGGTTGCGATTGTAGTGTTTGCTGTGGACAAGTCTGCGGTATAGATGTAAGTGTAGTAGAGGCCCCATCATGCTTCCTTGCAGTACACCTGATTTCACCTGGTAGCATTCTGAATATGAATTTCAGTGACGTACGACTTTAGGAGTAAGTAGTATGGGCTGGGGAATGCATTTTTTATTTTATGTAGTAGTCCTTTGTGCCAGACATTGTCAAATGCCTGAGCTACATCAAGGAAAACTGCTGTACACAATGTTTTTTCTTTCAGGTCGTTTTTAATTCTCTTCAATAGTTACTTTTCAAAACGCTTCGATATTACCTACAACAAACTAATCGGCTGATAAGAATTTACTTCATTGGTTTGTTTCCCAGGTTTAGGTATCATTGTGATCTTGGCAAATTCCCACATTATCAGGTAGTATGACATTCTGAGCATGCTGTTATAGGTGGCTGTTAGCAATACTTTTGCTTTTCTTCGTAATTGTCTGTGTATTTTTCCTGTGATAACCGGATGCTTTGTGCAGATTTACGATCTTAATTTCTTGTACTACTTATCAAGGTGACAAGGGTTTGATAGGTAATGACATTTGACATTGTATTTCCAGGAAGTTTTCAATTTCACTGTCATTTTGATTTATGTTAGAAAGTGGTGTAAATACCTGTTCAAGATGTTCCGCGTACATTGTGGCTTATTCACTATCACTTTTTTCCCCAGCTTCTTTCCGCGTTTCTTATCGGCGGTATTGATATTTGGGGTCTTTTAACTTTTTTGTTGCCTTCCGAATTCTGTGGTCAGTTTAGAGAGAGACGTGATGTAGTGTTGGAATGTTTTCTTCTTCGCATTTCCTTAAGGCGTTATGTAGTTTTCACCTTAGTGTGAGGTCTACTAGCACTCAAAATTTCCACTATCTGATTTGGTGGGAGGAGAGTCCAACTGTTGACCTGAGTGACAGAACAGTTTGTGGTTGAGGGACTATGCTACAAGCCGGAAGGTCACGGATTCAATTCCCGATGAGGTCATTGGATTTTTTTCAGTTGACCTAATCCTTCCAGCCACACTATGGCCCTGGGGTCGTCTCAGCCTCAAATAGAAATGAGTACCAGGAATTAAGTAATTTTCATGGGGAGTAAAGCGTGGCCAGCGCGTAAGGCTGACAACCTTACAGCCGTCTTTGAGCCGATTGTCTAGATAATGTGGGACCCTCAACGTCTCACAACCCTATGGGCCTTCACGTTCTGTTACAGGGATAGCGTTATTTTTTATGAGCTTTAATTAATTATTTATGTTATTTTTATGTGGACTGCAACGCGCGGTTTTAGCGCACATCAGAGCAGTGTAACAGCTTTGGATGCATTAAGACACCTGAAGATGGCCATTTATGGCCGAAACATGTTGTGTTACGTGTTAAATAGTGAATAACCAATTGGCATTACTGACGGACTGTGGTTACATAGGCGTTTAATAAATACACATAGCTGAGCCTTTATTACCCAATCCCAGTCCTTTGAAGTTGAAATTGCTATTGCAAAGTTGAAAAGTTGTAAACAGCTGTTGAGATCAAATTGCAGCAAAACTGATTCAAGCAGTAGGTGAAATATTACGTTCTGCGATCCATGAGCGCGTTAATTCTATTTGGAATATGGAAAAACTGGTTCATTATTTAAAGGAGTCTATTATTGTACAAGTTCACAAGAAGGGTGATAAAACTGACTGTAGTATTTATCGGGGAATATCACTGCTACCAACTTCATACAAAATATAATCCAATATTCTTCTCTCAAGGTTAAGTCCATGTACAGATAAAATTATTGAGGATCATCAGTGACTGTTTCGACATAACAGATCAACTACTGATCAGATCTTTTGCATTTGTCAGATACTGGAAAAAATGGGAGTACAATGAAACAATAAAAAAAGAAGTGAAAGTATCCCTATAACAGGCTGTGGAGGCCCATAGGATTATGAGATGTTGAGGCTCCCACATATTCTAGACAGTCGGCTCACAGATGGCGGTAAGGTTGTCAGCCTTACTCGCCAGCTGCCCTTTACCCACAGGACAGTACATCAGCTATTTGTAGACTTCAAGAAAGCCTATGATTTAGTTAGAAGGGAAGTGTTGTATAATATTCTCATAGAGTTTGAGGTGCCCATGAAATTAGTTAGGCTGACTAAAATGTGTTTAAACGAAACTTATAGTAAAGTCCGTAAACATTTGTCTGATAAATTTATTATCCAGAACGGTCTAAGACAAGGAGATGCTTTAACACCACTCCTTTTCAACTTTGCTTTAGAATATGCCATTAGGAAGGTTCAGGATACACATCAGCTGTTGGTCTATGCTGATAATTTGAGTCTGCTGGATGATACTATAAGTAACACAAAGAAAAACACACAAACTGTAATTGATGCTAGAAAGAATGTTGGGCCAGAAGTAAACACAGAGAGAACTAAGTATATTTAGCTCTCTTGTCACCAAAATGCAGGGCAAAGTCATGACACAAAGGTAGGTAACAGATGTTCTGAAAATTTGGCACAGTTCAGATATTTGGAAACGACTGTCACAAATCAAAATCTGATGCAGAAGAAAATTAAGAGGAAACTGAATTTGGGTAGTGCTTCCTACTGTTCAGTTCAAACATTTTGTCTTCTCATCTGCTGTCTAAGACTGGAGAAAACTGCATTATGAGGAGCTCCATAAAATGTAGTCTTCGCCAAGTATAATTAGAATGATAAAGTCAGGGAGGAAGACTTGACTTTATTGTTCTAATTATATTTGGCGAAGAGTACAATTTATGTAGCTCCTCATAATGCAGTTTTCTCCAGCCTCCTCTCATTCCATCTCTCTCCGGTCCAAATATTCTCCTCAGCACCCTGTTCTCATACACCCTCAGCCTATGTTCCTCCCTTAATATCAGAGACCAGATTTCAGAACCATACAGAATTGCAGGCAATATTATCGTTTTGTATATTTTAATTTTTATGTTTTAGACTTTATCGTATGTTTAGTTTAAACACATTTTTTTCAGCCTATTTATATTCATCACACACAATTCAGTTTTTGGCCGACACTGTCAATTGAGTTTTTCTCATCTCTTAAGGGCGCTTTTTGATTTAATTATCAGTTTGACTGGACTGGTTTTCGCGTTCCACAATGCCTTCCAAAGCTTCAGGCAAGACTGCAAAGGAGGCCGATTAATTTGTGGTTTTCAAGAATGGAATTTAGGTTCGTGCCAGAGACCAAGATTACCCTTGGTTCTCTTCCGTGATGTGCGTGTTAGTAGTTATAGTGCTGTTGGGTACTTATATGTTTGAGTAAGTGGTGGACAGGGGTCCAAGGAAGTGAACACACAATGGAATTACAACCTTCCGCGAAGTGAATGTGGAAGTGTGGAGTTTGCCTGCCGAGTTCTGTGCTCTTCTGTGTTCATGTGCTATGTGTTTTAATAAGACCGAAAATTGCTAATGTACCCGCCCCAGACTTCTAGACGCTCTCGTCAAACTCACTCGATTCCTTGGGGCGTGAGTACAAAGACGCCACTCTACAGCATTCTGATGCTACTGACGTCATGGAACGAGTGTACATGGTACTCATCAACATTGCCCGCTTAGCAGAATGTACACCAGACTCTGTCGGAGAAATCCTCATTGAAGTGGAGTCACCCTTAATTTTGGGGGGACTTCCAGAAATCTAAACCAGCTCCTAAAAAGAAAACCTTTCTATAGCGCCCTACACGGGGTCTATGCAGAGGTGTTAGATAACCTGAAGGTTCTCTTTAAAGAGAGCGCAGCAAAGGACGACACAACAAGTCTAGTCAACGAAGCTGAAGCAAACGAGGGATTCCTCAGGTGACCAGGCAAAAGTCTAAGAAAGCCGCTACACCCACCGCTGGAGTAAGGGACCTGCGGAAACGGTCGCAGCTCGATGACAACTGAGATGGAATTCGA